AAAGATAAGATTCTGTTGGGTTTACAAGGGCACAAATTAGCACAACATGTTGGCAAGATTTTCTCTCACTTCCTGTTGAGCCTACAGAACAGGAATTGAAGGGAAATCTCCCTAGTGCAGTGGTGTCGAACCTTGGCACTCCAGCTGTGCCAAAACTACAAATCCCAACATGCATCTGCCTCTGGGAGTTATGTCTGTGGCTGTCAGAGCCTTGCAATGCCTCATGGGACTTGTAGTTCCAAAACAGCTGGAGTGCCAAGGTTCGCCACCACTGCCCTAGTGGGATGGAAACAAAAAAAACTGACGGTGGTTTTACCCTGCCCTGCTGTAAAATGAGAAAAAATGTTTGGCTTCAGATATAATTTTGTGTGGCGTTATTTTTTTTCTGTATAAAAAGGTAAACTTGTCTTTTGAAACCGTTTAGAGCTCATTTAGGCCATTTTGGCAGCTTTACTATAAGTAATGCCCTAGTGATATCACTGAAGTTTTGCTTTCTTTAGCTGGAAAGAAACAGCCCCCTCGTCCGTTTTAGTAGGAAGCCTTATACTGGAACCTGCTGGAGGCGGATGGAATAGCAGCCAAGTCCGTCTCCACAAACATGGCTCCTTCCCGAGGACAGAACAGTAGGCCGCATTGTGCGTCTAGTGGCTGAAAGCGCACGTCATTTAACCAATTGGCAGCTGGCAGACTCCGAGGCGAACCCATGGCCTTAGGGCGTCGGCGGGAATTCCGACAGCTGATTGGTTCTCTCAGCAGTAAGTTGTGTCATGTGACTGTGAGAAGGTGTGGCGTGTTGCTGGTCCCCGCGGAATAATCAATAGCAGTGGCGTTAGTTGTTATGATGGCTTCTCGTTCTCCTTCCCCCGACAGCATGGAGCTGTTATTAGAGGATCGTCCGGACATCGACAGCGAGGTGAGGAGTTCAGGGGGGAGGGCGCAGGGTACACAGGTTGTGCGGGAAGTGTGGAGGCTCGCATGGCGGACCAGGGAATCGGACACACCAAAGGGAGGCTTGAGTGGCTTAAAGGGGATCTGGTATGATAATAGTTTGGAGTTAGGCCGCATTTACATCCATGCATTTTCCACAAATCAACTGGTCTTCCCTTCCCCAGCTACCAATGCTTTTCTTTCTCCTGCTACTAGTGAAGTAATGTACTTCCGGGTATGGAGGAGCATGTGACGCCTTTCATGAGATGATGCCTGCCCAGATAGCAAGCAATTGGGCTGCAAGTTTGAAAATGACTTGCTAGACTTGCCAAGTTTCACAATTACAGCAAGTCTGCATTACAAGTCTCCAGATCAACGTGCTTTGTAAAAGTGCTGTACACTTGCAGAGCTCTTGCTGAGACCTGCAGGACTCTTGCTGTAGACTTGCCAAGCAAATTTGCTACAAATGTAAAAAGTGTCAACTAGAACTTGTGCTGCGAGTGTTCCGCAAGTCTACAACTTGCCAGGGATGTGTGCAGCCAGTTAGCAAGAATTACAATTCAACCCTGCCACAGGTTTGTGGCAAGTTATCCTTGCTATCTGGGTGGTGATTGGCCCGGAAGGGTCACATGACGGGAGAGGGATTGTCTTCAGTCCATTATAAGTTCCATAGAGCGGCTCCATTCCAGAGAATGAACAATTGGGGGTGGATAAGGAAAGGTGAGTTTGTGTTCCTAGGAAGCGGGCATTAAAGGAGAACTATGGGGTCCAAGCTTTTCTTTATTTTTGGATTCCATGGGCTATAGGTGTAAATGTTGCAATTTACTCCTATAATCCAAAATGCACCCTAAACATACAAACGTTACTTCAAGATGGTGGGCGGGGCTAAGCGCCACAGTGGGGAGATATCCCGACAATGCTGTCGGGATCCTCCCAACTGATCGTTCTCACTGTGACTGGCGGCGTTCCTTGAGAACTGCTGCGCGTCCACGAATACATGGGCATGCGCAGCAGCTCTCTTCCTAGCTCCACGTCCCCATCATCTGTGCCAGCAAATGACAGCGCGTGCATGGAAGGCCGTTTCTCCTCAGTGCCTCCGCCCCTCCTTCCTCCTGTCTCTGTCTTGAAAACGTGCAGCAGTTGTATGGAAATCTTAGTTCCCCTTTGACCGTTCAGCTATTACCATAACGCCGCCCCTTCCTTGCAGCTGCTTAGTATTTACATAGCCCCGCCCCCTCTCTGCAAGCTCTGGTGTTCTATGAGAAAGAGACGAATGTCTCCTCTCACATGATCGTTCACCCCCCCCCCGTACAGGAAATCTCTGACTTGTCTCCCCGTCACATGTCACCGCTCTCAGTGTTGTGTTGCTGCGATCTGATACTTCCTGTCGCATCATCCCCCATCGGCGCTCCTCATCCCCCCCATCAATTGGAGTAAAGGCAAGAAGTACTTTTATTTGCCCTTAGTTCATAATTGTCCTTTTTAAAGAGGACCTGTAATTTTTCCCTTTTGAGTTAAGTTTGTCATGAGAGAAGCAGGAAGGCGGCCGTTGTTCCAAGAATGTTAGCTGCCTGAGCTTTAGCTGGATTTCTTGCTATATTGTAAATGGCCGGAATAGCTGGAGATCAGATTACACACGCAGCTGAATGACTTGGAGGATGTAGCAAAGAAGGAAGTCACCAGCACTCCAATGTGTCAGTTTAAATGAACAATTGTGTAGAGTTATAAAGCAATGGATTTGACATCCAGCAAACATACTCTGTAGGAGACTCTTCCAGCCCCATGTGTTTTTAAATGACAATACTTCTGGTCACATTCATGCTTTCATAAATAGATCCCTTATTGTCACATGGGTTGGGCTCACCCAACGTAAGACTTGGAGAGAGCTGTTAGTACGGCAATATGGCCTCTGGTGGGAGCCTATGAATGGTTTTGGTGCCAGGGCTCCATCTCACGGCTGTAATGACATGTGAACATGCGCTCCCGGTATGCTGGGTGAACCTATTCTAGATAGAGCCACGCTGGAGTGCTGGTGACTTGGATCATGTGCGGCGCCATCCATTGTGGTCACTTCAAGCACTGCAAGGAAAGTGTAGCTCAGAACAAGGCTTGCTTTACTACTTGGATCTTGTGCGGCGCCATCCCTTGTGGTCACTTTAAAGGAGAACTATGGGGTCAGGGCTTTTCCCAATAGTTCTCAGGGTAACGGGAGGACACAAACTAGCGCCCTCCCGTCACCCTAAGCTCAGTATACCGTGAGCTACAGCTCGCGGTATACTGAGACGCCGCAGCGGATCCCGACATCGATGTCGAGATCCGCCCAGCTGCGTGACTGACAGCTGGCTCTGCCTATTTAGAGGCAGAGCCAGCTGTACCCGCCCCCTCCCCCGTCCGTTCTGCCAGTCAGCGCTGGAGGATCGGAGCGGGGAGGGGGGAATCCAGCCCCTCCCCTGTCACGGCAGAGAACCGTGACAGGATCGAGAGGTGAGCGAACGCCGGTATGTGTATGTGTGTAAAATTTAAAGGCCATTTCCACCTTTTTGTAAGTGATCAGCATTCATTGCGGTAATGTAGAGGTGCAGCGATGATGTATATGTGGGCACATGTTCATGACTCGCATTGCTGGCTTTCTTCATTTTTTCATGGACTTTTTAGTAGGCCCGAGTCCTGCAAATTAAAAATTTGCTTCACAGGAAACTCAGTCCGACACTGGGGTTGGATTATGAAACAGCGTACCCCCTCCACGTGAGTCATTGTAACTAGATCACTGCACACCATCTCTGCCTCTCACAATACAATGTCGGGGGTATTGCCACTATTTAATACTAATGAATGCGGGGCGAGAGCTCAGACAGAGTGTTCATTTACACAGACTGCTTGCAGAGAACAGAGGCGGACATTTCAAAAGGAGACATGAAGAAGACGGCTAACAAAAAAAGCAAGTTTTTGTGCACACCAGCAGCTCTGCCTTTCCAGGTCACCATACACTGTCCGTTGGAAGGGGGGGATGGGGGTGCCACTATGAATACTAATGAATGGAGAGAGAGTGTTCATTTACATAGTGCTAGGCCAGAGGCGGCCATTATAAAAAGGAGCCATGAAGAGATCAAGAGGACAAATAAGTTTCTGTGTTCATATACAGCAACTGCATATGTCGGCTTCATGTAAACTTTGTGTGCATTGCTGGCATTTTTTTTTTTTCCAACTACCTCCGCAATGGTGGAAATGGGCTTTAGAGGAGCATTGGTGACCTGACAACTGGGATTAGTCCAACCCAGTCTGGAGAAGTCAGTTTATGTAGACAAACGGGCAGCACTGAGCTTTTTCTTAGCTTGGTATGTGCTGATTGTCAGACATGAATGTGACCCCGTGTCACATCTTTTTTTTTTTTTTTACAGATAATGGGAAAAAAAATTCCATCTATTCGTAAACCTAAAAATAAATAAATTGTAACCCGTTATAATTGTACATTTTTTGTGCTTTTATACACGGAGGTTGACTGGGTAAGCACCTTCCCAGGCCTTGTTTTGGGATCTGAGTAGTGGGCAGCGCAGGAGCTTACTGATTAGCACTTCTGCCTTGCAGCACTGGGGTCCCAGGTTTAAATTCCATTCAGGGCACTATCTGCATGGAGTGTGCATGTTCTCTCTGTGCTTACATGGGTTTCCTCCCACACTCCAAAGGCATGCTGGAAGGTTAATTGTCTCTGTATGTATGCATGGGAGATAGGGACCTTAGATTGTAAGCTCATTGAGGGACTGATGTGAATGTGCGCTATGTGTAGGTTGTCAGCACTATATAAATATCTGTAATAAATGAATAAATACATTTTGCAGATATTACCTGTATTGAGTGGAAGCGATGTAAGTGACATCCCCGTACGTGGTGGTGTTCCTCCTCCTTTATACAGACCACTAATGTGAAGCTTGTTGTCACCTTTAGAAATGCAGTTTTATATGGCGTGTTGATCAGTCATCATACTGCTGCTGACATTTCAAATGATGAAACCTGGACACACAACTGTATATTCTCTTTTTCATCTCCTTTTTCTAGGGCAAGCCAAACGCTATCAGTGATGAACTCAAGATGTCAATGACAAGTGAGTGGAACTCTGACATTTTCTTCTAATGACTGTCTGCGCCAGAGGTAGGCAACCTGAGCACTCAAATGTGGTGAAACTACAAGTCCCATGAGGCTTTGCACAGGCACGATGGAAATTGTAGTTTTATCACAGCCGAGGTTGCCCTCACCTCGTCTACCCTATTGGGAATGCCTTTAGAATGATATGTAGTAACATGCTTGGCTGGTTTATTGATGGAGCTTTGTGAAATGACTCCATGTTTGCGTTCTGCTGGTCCATATGTTACAATAGGATTGTATGGATTGATTGTAGTTAACGTGTATCTAAGTTCTGAATGGTGGGGGAAGGATTGGAACCTCCCCATCAGGTTACTTGTTTTATTGTCCCTGCTGGGGTGTTTACAGTCCCAAACTAAAATGTATCTGTTTTCTATTTAAAGTGGAAGTTCACAGCAGACAACTCCATACAAATATTCTTACTCCCGCACGGCACTCATTTCTGACTTGGATCAAGAATAACCATTATACTCGCCTGATCCTCCGAGCTGACTGGCTGAGACGGCGCTCCCTCCTGCCTGTCCACCCCCCCCATGCTGCAGTGATGGAATGTTCCTCACATCCTATACATAGTGTATAGAAGGTGTTTACTCAGGGACCTTAGACCGCTGCAGCGGAGGGGGAAGAGATACTCCAGGGACCAATCTAAGGGCAATCCGGCTTAGAGGATCAGGTGAGTAACTTTTTTTTGACCCTAGGCAAAAACAAGGACTTAACCCTTGCAGTGCGGGGGTAGCACCACTACAAGGGTTAATTACATTTTTACCTGGAGTTGTGGTTTAAACAGCCATATAACGCATGTATACAACAATGATACATGCAGAGTGCCATGTTTGAATTCTGTCTGCACCCAGGTTGTGCACACATAGGAAATGGCCAGCCGTTTACCTGGGGCACTGTGCAACTCATGGTGTGGCTTAGGAAGGGGCGTAGGGGGCTGAGAAACGCCATGAGTTACATGTGTTGCTAGTAAATGGCCAGCAGTTTCCTATACTGATCGCTGGACAACCGGCACGCAGACAGAAGTCAAGCTTCCAATTTATCATGTGTTATGCACTTGTCAATCCTGCCAGTCCACACACCTTATCCCAAGTTCATTTTGTGGACCGACTACACTATGTTGCCACAAGAGAAAGCCACTGATCCCACATCCTTGCATCCCCATTAAAGGGCTTTTACCAACCCTTGCAATGTGGCTACTCACACACTGCAAGGGTTAAGAGCTTGTTTTTGTTTAGGGAGGAAAATAACAGTTATACTCACCTGATCCACCGAGCTGGCCGGCTGTGACAGCGCTCCCCGAAACCTGTTTTCCTCCCACTGAAGCAATGGTATGTCTTCCCCCTATACCCAGTGTATAGAACGTGATGACTCACTCACACTGCTCGATTATCGTACGAAAACCCGATCGCATACGATTATCGTACGATAATCGTGCAGTGTATGGGCACCTTTAGACTGCTGCAGTGAAGGGGGAGAAAGGCTCCAGGGAAAGGCAGGATCAGGTGAGTATAATGTTATTTTCAGCATTGAACCCTTGCAGTGCGGGGATAGCCTCACGGTGAGGGTTAATTTTAAAAAATTACCCGTAGTTTAGGGCTGCAACAACTAATCAAATGGATTATAATCGATAATGAGAATTGCTGGCAACGATTCTCATCATCGATTAGTTGCTGTTCGATTGGTTGCCGCCGCTCTGCTCCTCCGTTCTCCTCCCTGCTGGTGCTGGCCTTTTAATCCCAGTTGCTCTCCCCGCCTGTATCAGCAGAGGCAATGGGGACACATCCCTACAGCCGGCACCAGAGGGGAGGAGAGACCGCTGTGACTGCATACCTCCGCGGCAGCCCTGTCCCGTTCCTTCTCTGCTCCGCCCTGGTCCTCCTCCAGTGATGCCAAAGCTGTTTGATTAACAAGTCCCACCAGCCACACAGTTATGATCCACAGAGGAAAATGTAGAAAACACCAAAAAGTGCAAATTTAATGTATGTATGTATGTATGTATGTATGTATGTATGTATGTTTTATTTTTTGATTAACATTTTGTCATCAGAACAGAAAATGGGGGGGGGGGGGTGTTTTTCCT